AATGTGATATTTTATGCTTTCCATCTACCACCTAAAATCATCTTCTATTTAACTTGAAGTCATCTCACATACCACCAGCAGTACAAATCCTAAGCTTTTGGAGACAGAAGGGCTGAAAGCAGGCTGAGTTCCACAAGTAAACTGAAAAAACTAAACTGGCCAACTTCACCTCCTTTACAAGTTTGTGTAAATGCTCTACAACCTTGTGTAAAATTTCTCCTTTGTATCCCCTTTAGCAACTAGAGTAGAATGGCACACATAAATATGCTCAATAAATATTGGGAACTTAGAAAAAGTTGATCTGAATAGGACCCTGGGAGTCTGAGGGGAAGATGGATTTTCTGTAATACACTCCCTCATCTCCCACCTCCAACCAATAATAGGCTCAGCCTGAAGTCTAAGCAAGAAGTGGAAATGCCATACCCCAGCAGAGAACTGGTTCTAAGGACCGAACTATATGAATAATAGTTATTTCTCTCCTTTTGGACTTGGAGATCTGTATTTTGATAAATAATTATATTTACTCTTGTAACGGTCCTGCCCCATTTTCAAGTGATAGAACAACTCCAAAGTATCTTCCCCTCTTAAAGGTCATTTACAGTAAGTGATGTGCTTCAGATGTGTCTTACACTGAACTGAAAACAAACTATCAAGGAACACTCCTCACCGGCCATATCCAAAAGGCATTCTAGGTTTGTATCCATTCTAATATCTCTTCTTGATTTTGTACAGATAACATTAGCAATGGATACATAACGTTTTTCACTGCTGTTTACAAAATAAAATATCTGAGTCTCTCAAAGGCAGTTTAGGAAATTCAGGACCCTTCAAAGAGAAAGATGAAACCATCATCAGTAGACTCCCAGTCTTAGGACAGGCCAGCTTAAAGTGACTAGGCCTGTGGACAGAGATGAAACTGACAAACCTTACATACTTGGCCCTAGTCTCGAGCAGGGGATTGACTTTTTTTTCTGAGAAGAACTTTAGAGGCCAAGGAAAAGACAGGTTGAAAAGAAATTCTCTCTGAACAGGTATATAGCTAAGGCAAAGATTTCAGAATTCTGGCCCATGAATCTTTTTCCCCAGCCTAGTTTAGTGCTATGACCAAATACTACAAAGAACCAACTTAAGACTACCACCAGAATTATTTATTTATGACTCATTTCCCCCTCTGTGTATCATTGATGGCAATATCTAAGTGACCGATTGGTTCTCCTTTGTGCCTCATCCGTCAATCAGTGGATTCTCAAAGACTGCTAATTATGTCAGTTTTCAATCCAAGTTAAACATAATCCTACTGCTGTCAAAGCTACCCCAAATTCCAAAGTCATATATAAGTGATTTGAGAATTGTCTACTGTCTAGAGAATTCTTGCCAAGTTCCCAATAGAAAAATGAGAGCTGGCCTCATTATTAAATCATGTCATGATCAGTGGCCCATTTTCTTTCCAGCTTTGGTGATGACATCCTTGTAACAGCACAGCAGAGTTAAACTGTCAGATTCCTGAAGCAATTCCCCTTTGGACTTACCTGTAGATATTACTGAGTTGGAAGGATCGGTGAACTCAGGATCCCGGCTTTGGTTCAGTGACTTTGGCAGCCTGACAAAAGCTATTCCCTGCCTTCACATTGCTTTTTATGCAACTCTGGGCTGTTGATGACCTCCAGCTGTGGGGCCATCCCTCTGATCACTCTGTCTGGCCTCCCAGATCTTCAGTGCTTTCATGGCTAAGGGGCCTCTATATTTTCCTGCTCCATGGACTTCTCTACCTCAAGGATTCCTACCTCCCAGGGTGCTGCCAACTCAGCAAGGGTTTCCTTGGTATGAGTTCTTTTGCTTATGGCAACTGAGCTATCACATTTCTCATCAGGAAGCAGCCTGAAATTAAGGTGCAAAAATTAAACTGTCGAGACTAAAGGCGTTTGATGCAACTGAATTTCAAGCAGAGTCTGAAGTTCCCTGGAGTAGAGCTTGCTGTGTGGGGGCCTAATGGCCATGGCTTTGAAGCAGTCTGATAATCTTAAATGTCTCTTAACCATGTTAAAGCCCTTGCAGAGCCAGAATCCAACAGATTTTCTGAACTAGAACTCTGCTACTATTCTCCAAGCCTGAATTATGGCTTTGCCACTTACTAGCTGTGACCTCAGACAAATTATTTAACCTCTTTGGTCTCACTTTCCTAAGATGTAAAATGCAGGCAATGAGACTTATTCTACAGTGCTAATGTGAGCTTTAAACATGCTATGATATACATAGTACATGGTAGATGCTCAATTCATTTCGGTTCCCTTAACTCTATCCTCTACATTTTAGAGGAAATCTATTTACCTGCCTTACCTCTTGCTTAGTAGACAGGATGAGGCTTGGGTTGAAGACTATATTACTCAGGGGCAAGTCTAGAAAGGATGTGGGGTGGATACTCTAGATAGTCACAGGGATTGGTGTTTCTCTTCCTCAAATCCTAGGTTGTTGTAATAAGACTAAGTGATTCTCTGATTCAAGAATGCTTGCAATGTTCATTTCTGGGACAAGCCTCTCAGTAGGAATGATCAAAACTCCTTATTAACATAGCACAGCCCAGATCCTTGGAGATGGCTATATATATATGGCTTAGCTTATTCCACCCCATACTGTAAGATTAAAATCATTGCCATCTCCAAGGTTCTGGGCTGTGCTATGTTAATAAGGAGTTTTGATCATTCCTACTGAGAGGCTTGTCCCAGAAATGAACATTGCAAGCATTCTTGAATCAGAGAATCACTTAGTCTTATTACAACAACCTAGGATTTGAGGAAGAGAAACACCAATCCCTGTGACTATCTAGAGTATATATATATACGGCTTTTATATATGGTTCTTAAGAGCATAAGTAGTTGTCACAAGAACATGACATTTCCAGATCTGTATTCTGGATAATAATTTACATGACTATCAACTTTCGAAGCAGGAATCCTCTCTTATTCATGTTTATTCTCTTAAATACCTATTGCTTTGTGTATTTAAGTTGCTCATTACATCAAATGGAATTGATTCAGTATCGAAGGACATGAAACTGAAGGAAAAAATGGAACTTAAAATTGTTGATAAGCAAGATCTAGACTGACCAAAAGAACTCAGAAGAAACCAAAGCTGAGCAGTATCTTTTCTATATACCAAACTTTGTTTATATAACTTTTATCTATGGACTTTCATTACCTATTAGAAAGTTATCGTTGCATCGGAAGACTAGCTTAGGAATGTGTTGTTGGTAGGATAACTGGCTAGAACAGGGGCTGGAATAGATAGTCTTATTCATAAAGCCATGTCTAGTTACCAGAAAATGAGACTCTTCCTCCCTGATTTTCCATGGAGTGGGTTAAGATAACAGTGTGCCACCAGCCATTGTTTTCTTTTTCTCTTCATTTTTTAAATAGAGATGATGTCTCACTACGTTGCCCAGACTGGCCTTTGAACTTCTGGCCTCAAATAATCCTCTTCCTGCCTCTGTCCCCCAACCATGCCGGGCTCTATCCACCATTGCATATTGCCACAGGGCTGACAGTTTGGCAGAAACCTCCTCTGCCTGGGAAGAGCACTATCCCTTAGGATTATTTATTTATTTATTTATTTATTTTTGAGATGGAGTTTTGCTCTTGTTGTCCAGGCTGGAGTACAATGGCTTGACCTTGGCTCACTGCAACCTCCTCCTCCCAGATTCAAGTGATTCTCCTGCCTCAGCCTCCCGAGTAGCTGCGATTACAGGCGTCCGCCATCATGCCCTGCTGATTTTGTATTTTTAGTAGACACCGGGTTTCTCCATGTTGGTCAGGCTGGTCTCGAACTCCTGACCTCGGGTGATCCTCCCAACTCAGCTTCCCAAAGTGCTGAGATTACAGGCGTGAGCCACCATGCCTGGCCTAGGAGAATTTAGGTTTTAAGTCAATTGTTACTTCTGCAGTGTTTTATCCTTGGGGCTTATGAAATATTGGCTGCTGTAGTTCATTAGTTAAAATTCTCCTTTCCCTATTCCCTTAAGGCTTGGTTTTGCTACTTTCAGGCTTATTTGTATGATTTTTTTCTCTCCCTGAGCTGAAATGTAAGTGTTCCAAACTGGGGGAGAGACAAGTAGAGAAAGTGATGTACTCTTAGAAAGGACTGGGGTGTTTATAAACTGTTTTTGTTTGTTTGTTTGTTTGTTTGTTTTGTTTTTTGAGACAGAGTTTCGCTCTTGTCGCCCAGGCTGGAGTACAATGGTGCGATCTTGGCTCACTGCAACCTCAGTCTCCCAGGTTCAAGCGATTCTCATACCTCAGCCTCTCACTTAGCTGGGATTGCAGGTGCCTGCCACCACATCTGGCTAATTTTTGTATTTTTAGTAGAAATGGGGTTTCGCCATATTGGCCAGGCTGTTCTTGAACTCCTGACCTCAGGTGATCTACCCGCCTCAGCCTCCCAAAGTGCTGGGATTACAGGGGTGAGCCACTGCACCTGGCCCAGGGTGTTTACTACCAATGAGGCTATTTTCTCCATTAGATTTTAACTTCTGAGTGCAGAGCTATGTCTTATTCACCTGTGTATCCCCACTGCCTAGGGAGGTCCACGGTGGCTGTTCAATAAATGCTTACTGATTGATAAATAAGTCAAATATAACCAACATTGCAAAGTGTTACAGGTATAAAATTGGTGGTACAGGTAATAGCACTAGAGAAACTCAGAAGAAGAAATCATTGTGGGCCAGGATGGTCAGAGAAGGTTCTACAGAAGAGGTAGAAATGTTTCATGGAAGAATCTGACTCTCTGGACAGAGATGGGATGGAATATGGACAGTGCAGACTTCCAAATCACTTAAACTCTAAGAGCCTCAGTTTCTCATTGATGCAAAAAGTGTTTTTAAAATGGAGACAGTAAACCTACATCATAAGCAAAGAGTAAATGAGATAGTTATATAAAGTAATTAGCACAGAATGTGATACACACAAAAGAACTGTTTTCCTCTGCACTTTTGTCTTTCTTTTACTGACCTGTATAGCCATCCCATTGGATTTGAAAGTTTTCCTTAGTGTTCTAGAGCTTCTGGTGTCATTTTCTTCATCGCTCCAGGAGCTTTCCACATATCAGAGGAGATACTCCTGAAGCCAGGGAGGCTTTGTTCGCTCTCTATGGATAAATGAGATATATAAACATACTAAATACTTTTTATTGTCTATCCTTGAGCACATATAACCACATTGGGCATGGGGACTTTCGCTAGGCAAAACATTTCCAATTTTATCTCCATTTCCACCTCATAGAATTTTATTATTAGAAGAGTTCTGGTAGGGCTCAGTGACTCATGCCTATAATGTCAGCACTTTGGGAGGCCAAGATGGGAGAATTACTTGAGGCCATGACTTTGAGACCAGCCTGGGCAACATAGTAAGACCTGACTCTACAATTAATAAATAAATTATCCAGGCATAGTGACATATGCTTGCGGTCCCAGCTACTTTGGAAGCTGAGGTGGGGAGGATTACTTGAGCCCAGGAGGTCAAAGCTGCAGTGAGCCATGATCATGCCACTACATTCCAGCCTCGGTGACAGGGAGAGGCTCTGTTAAAAAAAAAAAAAAAAAAAGAGTTATTGGAGATAATATAGTATATAACACTCATTTTACACCAAAAACAAATTTAGCCTAAAGCAATTAAGTGATTAGTTATTGGCAGAACTGTGAAGTATATTTGGATGTCTTTTGATGTCTTACCCAGTGCTCTTTCCATTTTAGCAGGCTATTTTATACTTCTATATGTTGGACAGTCCCATTCATTTTTCACATTTCCATTAACATTGGCAACCCAGTTTTTCGGTGAAATTCAGAGACATCCTATATGGAACATTTGGCTTGTTTATAAAAGGACTAGGAAGATCAAGTGATTAATACACGTTGAGAATCACTAATCTGAAAATCTGAAATGTTCCAAAAGCTGATGCTTTCTGAGTGCTGACATGAGGCTCAAAGGAAAAGCTCATTGGAGCATTTTGGATTTTGGACTTGGGATGTTCAATTAGTTCACTGAATTTACCATTTATCTAAGGAGTCCTGGTTCTATGAATAATTTTTTAGGCTGGGCACAGTGGCTCATGCCTGTGATCCCAGCACTTTGGGAGGCCAAGGTGGGCAAATCACTTGAGGTCAGGAATTTAAGACTAGCCTGGCCAACATGGTGAAACCCCATCTCTACAAAAATAGAAAAATTAGCTGGGGATGGTGGTGCATGCCTGTAATCCCAGCTACTCAGGAGGCTGAGGCATGAAAATTGCTCAAACCTGGGAGACAGGTTGCAGTGAGCTGAGATCATGCCACTGCACTCCAGCCTGGGCGATAGAGCAAGACTCCATCTCGAAAAATAATAATAATTTAAAAAACTGAACATATAGTAAAATGGAATTTTACAGTATACAGTTAATTTTAATACATGTTTAGATTCACATCACCACCACCACAAATAGGATATAGAACAGTTCCATCCCCACAAAAAGTTTTTTTTTTTTTTAGTTTTATCTTTTTGAGGATGTCATAAAAATGGAATAATACATTCTGTGAACTATGAAATCATCAAGCAATAGAGGTACCTTTTCTGGTAGTTTTTTAAACTATACACAACACACACACACACACACACACACACACACTCACACACTCTTCAATCTTCTGAAATGACTGAAAGCAATGACACCCTGATATCAGGGTATGTATGTGCATATATATCTCTGTGTAGTAAAACACATCTACATACACAGCTATATTTATTTTCTGTATCTATCCATTTACATATATGTTAAAAACATGACATCATACCGATACCTCCAGTTCCAATCCAACCCCACAGAACTCATTCTGGCCTAACCCTTTTCTTTATTTATAGCTTTTTTTTTTTTTTTTTTTGAGAAGGAGTCTTGCACTGTCGTCCAGGCTGGAATGCAATGGCTCACTGCAACCTCCACCTCCTGGGTTCAAGTGATTCTCCTGCCTCAGCCTCCTGATTAGCTGGGATTACAGGCGGCTGCCACCACGCCCAGCTAATTTTTTGTATTTTTAGTAGAGATGGGGTTTCACTATGTTGGTCAGGCTGGTCTAGAACTTCTGACCTCATGATCCACCCACCTTGGCCTCCCAAAGTGCTGGGATTATAGGGGTGAGTCACCGCGTCCAGCCTTATTTATAACTTCTTTCTCCTACATGATAAACCTGATTCTCATTATTGAATATATTTAGTTATTTGTTCAATCTTAGTATATGCATAAAAGTAATTTAAGAATGCTAGCCTGTACCAATGTAAGGAATAAATTTGCTAATTAGAGTACAGTATTTGTGTACAATTTTTTATCTTTAACCTTCTAGTGTATAGTCAAAATACTGTTTTCCAAAGTTTCTTCTGTTACTTCTTTTCCATCCACGTCAGTGTTATAATATTATTCATTTGTAATAAAGTTAGGTTCATTTCTTCCCTTTTTATTTCATGTTGAATTCACCTCACAACCTCACTGATTTTTTAAAAAATTCTTTATTTTTGTGTATGTCAAATAATACCAAGGTATTATTTGGTATACTTATTCTCTTTTTTTTTTGAGACTGAGTCTCCCTCTGTTGCCCATGCTGGAGTGCAGTGGCACAATCTCGGCTCACTGCAACCTCCACCTTCTGGGTTCAAGTGATCCTCCTGCCTTAGCCTCCCAAGTAGCTGGGATTACAGGCGTGTGCCACCACACCCAGCTAATTTTTTAGTAGAGAGGGGTTTTCACCATGTTGGCCAGGCTGGTCTCGAACTCATGGCCTCCAGTGATCCACCTACCTCAGTCTCTCAAAGTGTTGGGATTACAGGCGTAAGCCACTGTGCCCAGCCTAATTATTCTCTTATTCTAAGAGTCAAACAACAAAGTATAATCTGGGAAGAATCATTCCCCTCCTCCATCTCTGCTACCCTATTCCATCCTCCATTCTTTCCATCTACCCACTGTAGGTAAAGAATTTTATTAATATCTGGTTTATACTTCCTGCCTTCCTTTTGCACAAATAAGCAGGTATATGTATATTTTATTACATGTTTCAGCCTCCCAAGTAGCTGGGATTACAGGCACACGCCACCATGCCCAGATAATTTTTGTATTTTTAATAGAGACTTTATTATATAAAATGATAATACTATATTAGTTTCCTAGAGCTGCCATAGCAAAATACTACAAACTGAGTTGGTTAAATAACATAAATTTATTGTCTCACATTCTGGCAGCTGGAAGTTCAAGATTAAGTTGTTGACAGGTTTGGTTTCTTCTGAGGCCTCTCTTTGGCTTAGAGATGATTGCCTTCTCACTGTGTCTTCACACAGCCCTTCCTCTGTGCACATGCTCTTGATATCTCTCTGTGTGTTCAAATTTCCTCTTCTTTGGCTAGAAATACAGAGTAAGAAAAAGGTTAAAAACAAAACAAACAACAAAACAAAAACAAATTTTTTCTTCTTATAAGAACACCAGTCAGATTGAATTAGGACCCATCCTAATGGCCTCATTTTAATTTAATCACCTCGGTAAGCCCTGTAACACCAAGTAGAGTCACATTCTGAGGTACTGGGTATTAGGACTTCAATATATTTATATTTATATATATATATGTGTGTGTGTGTGTGTGTGTGTATATATATATTTTTTTAAATACGGGGTTTCACCATGTTGGTCAGGCTGGTCTTGAACTCCCAACCTCAGGTGATCCGCCTGCCTTGGCCTCCAAAGTGCTTGGATTACAGGCATGAGCCACCACGCCTGGCCTAGGACTTCAATATATACATTTTGTCAGGAGGGACAAAATTTGGGTTATGACACATACTATAGACACTCTTTTGCACTTTGCTTTTTTCACTCATGGAAATCACTCCATATCAGTTAACAGTTAACTCTTGTTCCCCAGGCTGGAGTGCAATGGCACAATCTCGGTTCACTGAAACCTCCACCTCCCAGGTTCAAGTGATTCTCCTGCCTCAGCCTCCTGAGTAGCTGGGATTACAGTTACCTGCCACCATACCTGGCTAATTTTTGTATTTTTGGTAAAGACGGGGTTTCATTATGTTGGCCAGGCTGGTCTCGAACTCCTGACCTCAGGTGATCTGCCCGCTTTGGCCTCCCAAAGTGCTGGGATTACGGGTGTGAGCCACTACACCTGACCTTATTTTTGTATTTTTATTAGAGACAGGTTTCAGCATGTTGGCCAGGCTGGTCTGAAACTCCTGACCTCCAATGATCCACCGGCCTCAGCCTTCGAAAGTGCTGGGATTACAGGTATGAGCCACCATGCCCAGCTACAATACTTCATTTGTTTTAATGGCTAAATAATATTCCATTGTATGAATGCACCACATTTTACTTATCCATTCATCACTGATGGACATTTAGGTTGTTCCCATTTTAACTATTACACATAATATGGCTGTGAATATGGATATATACTTAGGAGTGGAATTACTGAGTCATCAGGTATTTCTATGTTTAATCTTTCTTAGGAATTGCCACAGTAGCTGCACACTTTTACATTTTCACCAGCAATGTATACATATTCCACTTTATCCACATCCTTGTCAACACTTGTTAGTATCCTTTATTATTATTATTTTATAGCCATCCTAGTGGATGTGAAGTTGTATTTCATTGTGGTTTGGATTTGCACTTCCCTAAAGACCAATGATGTTGAGCATCTTTTCATGAGCTTATTGCTCATTTGTATTCCTTATTGGGAGAAATGTCTATTTGAATCCTCTGTCCAATCCAAAAAATTGAAACATTTGCCTCTTTATTGTTGAGTTGTAGGAGTTCTTTATGTATTCTGGATACTAAACTTTTATCAGATATATGATTTATAAATATTATCTCCCATTCTGTGGACTGTCTTTTCACTTTCTGATAATATCATTTGAAGCATAAAAAGTTTTAAATTTTGATGAAGTCCAGTTTACCTGTTTTTCTTTGATAGCTTCTGCTTTTGGAGTCATATATAAGAAACCAGTGTCTAATGTAAGATCATGCAGATTTTCATTTGTTTTCTTCCATGAGTTTTACAGTTTTTTTTTTTTTTTTTGAGATGGAGTTTCGCTCTTGTTACCCAGGCTGGAGTGCAATGGTACGA